GGTGCTGAGGAATCGAACCCAGGGCCTCAGGCATGCAAGGCAAGCGCTCTACCACTGAGCCACCTTCCCTGCCCCCTTATGATGGTTTTTTATGTGTTGTATTTTCCTCTGTTCTTACCCAGTAAACTTCTTGTAGTTTTCTTAAAGGATAGTTGGTTTCTGTACAAGCAGGAAAAATACATCCTAATTTCTAATTCATTTTAGATACAGAAGGTTGTCATCTTAAACATGAAATGTTTTTGTTTTTATCAGCAATTTAGTATAGCAAACCCATTGCTCTTTGTATAATCTTTAGTTTCAAATTAGAACAAAAGTCATAGTCCATCTTAGCAAGTTTTAAAGCTAAAGGAGATAAACATATAACTATTGATATTAGTCTAGATTTTACTTTATTTCTCAAAAAAAGCATACTTGCTTTTTAATAGACAAGTATTTCTTCTCTATTGTATCTGTTGGATATCTCTACTTTATGTATAAGATACTTATTACCGGTTGGTTCCCTTGGATGCAAAGCAGGCTATTTACTTTTGCTTCATATGCACTAAAAAACATTTAGATAGTACTTCTTATTCTTTGTCAGAAACTGTTCTAAACCATGTTCACGTATCAACTCTTTGAAGTGTCCCAACAAATATGTGAAGTTGGTAATATTACCACCATGGTGTAGATGAAGAGTCTAAGTTAAGAATTTGCCCACAGGTCACATAGCAAGTAATGTCCTTTAGAACAAGGACATTACTGAGCAGTAAGCAGAAGCAGAACTTTGTGTGTGTGTGTGTGAATTTTCACACACAATATTGCCTTAAAATAGTCTTTGCAATAATCTTTGTAAACCTTTTGTTCTTCTCCAAAGGAATAAATTTATATACCACTTATAAAAGAAAAAGGATTTGAGAACTAAGATTTAAACTCCTTTGTCATAAGTACCTGTAAATAAAGTTACCAATGTCATTTTAATGATGTGGTCCAAAGAAATCCATAGCAACTGATGTTTTCCTAAGTATTCTAGGCATAACAAAATAGGCAAAACAAGTAACAAAAAAATGTTATTTAAGCTGGGCTTTGGTGGCTCACACGTGTAATCCTCGCTGCTCGTGAGGCTGAGATCTAGAGGATTTTTGGCTTAAGGCCAGCCCAGGCTGAAAGCCCACTAGACTACAAAAAGCCAGACTGGAGGTGTGGCTCAAGCAGCCAGTGAAGCAAGCAAACTGAGCTCTGAGTTCAAAACCTAGTACTGCCAAAAAAAAAAACCCAAACATGTTTGTTAGCATATTTAAATTGAAATTTAAGGGAAAAAATTTTATTGCTGTTTGATGTGACTTTTGGAGAAGACATTTTAATGACTATTCAACGTGTTTTTCAGCAAGGTGAAAAAATTATCCAGGAGTTTCTATCCAAGGTGAAACAAGTACCCTTTACTGAAATGTCAGAAGAAAACATCACAATAAAGCTAAAACAGCTGAAAGCTGAGTTGATAGCCAAGAATAATAGCTTTGTAAATGAACTCATTTCACGAATAAAGCTTACTACGTGAGAAAACCCTGCCAGAGGAGTGAGGATGGTATGAATAGCCTGTCTGCAGTGCTTTTGTATTTTCTACTGACGCCTTTTCCATAATGTTCACTGTCAACGCCTCGGGATGTCACCTTAATAGAATATTTAGTAATATTTTGTCTGAGTCCAATTTCAAAAAATCTTTATTTTGAGAATTGAGAACTATTGCCTAAGTGGATGTGGGCAATAGTAAGCAATATGCTGAATTTTATAAATAAAACCATGTGCTAATGGAACTGGAGATGTATTTTTTTGCCATCTGACTTTGTCCTAACTTACTCTAATAAGACCTTTTAAAAATAAAGAATATGGGCTGGGAAGGTGGCTCAGTGGTAGAGTGCTGCCTAGCATTCATGAATCCCTGGATTCCATTCCTCAGTACCACATACAGGGAAAAAGCCAGAAGTGGCACTGTGGCTCAAGCTGTAGAGTGCTAGCTTTGAGCAAAAGAAGCTCAGGGACAGTGCCCAGGCTCTGAGTTCAAGCCCCAGGACTGGCAAAAAATAAATAAAAATATAAAGAATATGCTTGTGCTTCATTCCTGTAATCCCAGCCTCTTAGGAGGCTGAGATCTGAGAGTAACTTTCCTGCATAGGCAGGAAAACCTATGACACTCTTACCTCTAATTGATCACCAAAAAGCTGGAAGTAGACATGTGGCCCAAGTGGGAGAATGCTAGACTTGAACCCAGAAGCACAAAAACAGTACCCATGTACAAAGTTCAAGCCCAGGATCAACACATAACCAAATACACACAAAACCTAACGAATCTTGTTAGGTTCTAGAAAAACAGGCCTACAAGCATTTTTGCTACTCAGTCAGCTGTGATCTGAAGATCCCAGTTTGAGGCCAATCTGGCCAGACAAATGCAAGAGACTCTTTTCAGCCAACCAGCAAAAAGCCAGAAGTGGAGATATGGCTCAATTGGTAAAGAAAAAGAAGAAGAAAAAAAACTAAGTAAAAGCTTGTGGCTTTGATTCAATGCAGAGTACAGACAGGAACACACACACACACACATTTTTTTTTGTCGGTCCTGGGGCTTGGGTGCTGTCCCTGCGCTCTTCAGCCCAAGGCTAATGTGCTACCGCTTGAGCCATAGCACCACTTCTGGTTTTCTGGTGGTTAATTGGAGCTAAGAGTCTCGTGGACTTTCCTGCCCCAGCTGGCTTTGATCCTCAAATCTCAGCCTCCTCAGTGGTTAGGATTACAGGAGTGAGTTACTGATGCCCGGCTCACACAGAGGAACTTTGTAAAGCAAGAAGCACCATTGGAGATCATTCCCAGAAATCCCAGAATGCCCATAGGCTGATAGGAACCAGGTTAGCTGTGTGTTGCACATTGGCCAAGAAATTAGTGGAAATTGTGATCTTCAACCCCATCTGGCATTTTTATCCGTGGAGACAAAAATTTGGATTTTAACAAAGCGTTTCTCATTGGGAATCCTTATTTAATGATAACCCTTGTAGGAAAGAGACAGAAACATTAGAAGTGATAGCTGGGTGGTCTGTAGATGTAAGGAAAAGGGGACAGTCTTCAATAAATGGCAGTTAGGTTGGTGGGGTCCCCTACTCCATGTCATGTAAAAACTTAGCTGCATGCCAGTGGCTTGTGTGAGTAATCCTAGCTAGTCCAGAGGCTGAGATCTGAGTATTGTGGTTTGAAGCCACCTTGGCAGGAAAGTCTATGAGATCATTTCCAGTTTACTACCCCAAAAGTTGAAAGTAGAACTGTGGCTCAAGTGGTAATCTTGAACACAAAAGATTAGGGACAGTGCCCAGGTCCAGAGTTCAAGCCTCAGGACTAGCACAAAACAATAAAAATCCCTCAGCAGAACTGAGATCAAATAGTCAAGTAAAAAACTCACCAAGGTCTTAGCATTTAGTTGTATAAATGTACAGAAAAAGTAGAAAAAGTATTTTTACAACTTTGGCTTGGAAAAAAAATCCTTGCATTATACAAAAATCACCTATGAAGTATGTCACATTAACTATGTTGAAGTTAAGAGCTTCTTTCATTACAAGGTGTTAGAAAGTGAAAAGATCCATGTGGGAGAGCATGTTCTATGTAGAATTCATATCCAGAATAAACAACTTAGGGAATTATTGCACAGAGGCGCTTGAGTCTTCATTATAGCTCAATAACAAAAACATGGGCAAAAGATTTGAATAGATTAATTTTTGAAGGCATCTATGCAAATAGTTCGTGAACACATGAAAAGAGAGAAATGTAAACGCTAAGTACCACTTAACAGTTAAGACAGAGTAGATACAAAATCAGGTGTCAAGGGGCTGGGAAGGTGGCTCAGTGGTAGAGCGCTTGCCTTGCATGCTTTAGGCCCTGGGTTCGATTCCTCAGCACCACATAAGCAAAAAGAAAAAAGCCAGAAGTGGTGCTGTGGCTCAAGTGGTAGAGTGCTAGCCTTGAGCTGAAGAGCTGAGGGACAGCGCCCAGGCCCAGAGTTTAGGCTCCACGACTGGACCCCCCTCCAAAAAAAAAAATTCAGGTGTCAAGTATTGGCAAGAACATGGCGAGATTGGAACTCTCATATTCTACCAGTGGGAATATAAAATGGTGCAGCCACTTTAGAAAATGTTTGTATACCGACTTGTACACCAACGTGTATAGCCCAACTGTTCTCAATGTCTGAAAACCTAGACAGCCATCAATGGTGAGTGTTTCAACCAAATGTATGTCTATACAATGGAATTTTCTGTCAGAGAAATGAAGTCATGATATATGTATGTCAAATCTCTTTTTTTTGTTGGGGGGAGGGTCCGGTTGTGGGGCCTGAACTCTGGGCCTGGGCGCTGTCCCTCAGCTCTTTAGCTCAAGGCTAGCGCTCTACCACTTGAACCACAGCGCCACTTCCGGCTTTTTTCTTATATGGTGCTGAGGAATCGAACCCAGGGCCTCAGTCTTGCAAGGCAAGCGCTCTACCACTGAACCACCTTCCCAGCCGGATGGTATCAAATCTCTTAAGATTGTTGATGGCTCTACATTTGTGAATATGACAAAAGCCATTGAATTGTGCACATCAGGTGGATGATTACTTGCTATATGAATTAGTAAAGCTGTTTTTACTAACCTGTTTTTTTGTTGTTGTTGTTTTGTCGGTTGTAGACCCTGAACTCAGGGCCTGGGTACTGTCCCTCAGTTCTTCAGCTCAAGGCTAGCACTCTACCACTTGAGCCACAGCACCACTTTGGCTTTTTCTGTTTATGTGGTACTGAGGAATCAAACCCAGGGCTTCATGCATGCGAGGCAAGCACTCTACCATTGAGCCACCTTCCCAGCCCTACCTGTTTTAGAGACAGGACCTCGATGTGTTAGTCCAGGCTGGTCTTGATCTTGAGATCCTCTTGTTTCAGCTTCCTGAGTGCTGCACCATAGGATTTGCATGAGTGCTTGATTGAGAGGAATTTTGACATAATTCAAAAAGCATTTCTAAATTCCAGTGGAATATCCATTGGTTGGCTGTAAGAGATTTTTGGATTGCTATACAAAAGCATGTTTAGCATGGAAATCAGTGGTTTTAGTTGTTAGAACTGTGAGAAATAGTACAAGCCAGTGTTGATTCCAAGAAAACATGTAGTCTATCAAGCTCTGAGAATCAGGCCACTCTCCTTTCTGTAAAAGAGGCTTCATTTTGAGACAGTTTTGCAAGATCTTAAGATGCCTCAGACTTGGGTTGTGCTTATTACATCAATATGCTAATGAGACAACCAGGCCTTCAATTAAAATCTCCTTCCTTTTGCAATGATGCATGAGGAACAAAATATAACCAATTTCTGCCTTTTCAAAGACAATTATATTTAATTTAATTTTTTTTTTTTTGTCAGTCGTGGGGCTTGAACTCTGGGCCTGGGCACTGTCCCTGTGCTCTTCAACTCAACGCGAGTACTCTAACACTTGAGCTACAGCGCCACTTCCGGTTTTCTAGTGGTTTATTGGAGATAAGAGTCACACAGTCTTTCCTGCCCGGGCTGGCTTTGAACTGCGATCCTCAGATCTCAGCCTCCTGAGTAGGATTACAGGCGTGAGCCACTGGCACCTGGCTTTTTTTTTGTCAGTCGTGGGGCTTGAACTCTGGGCCTGGGTGCTGTCCCTCAGCTCTTCAATTCAAAGTGAGTGCTCTACCACTTGAGCCACAGCACCACTTCCAGTTTTCTGGTGGTTTATTGAAGATAAGAGTCAGGGACTTTCCTGCCCGGGCTGGCTTTGAACCGTGATCCTCAGATCTCAGCCTCCTGAGTAGCTACGATTACAGGAGTGAGCCACTGGCACCTGGCTATACTTAAGTTTTTTTGTTGTAATGTAGTTTTTGTTCCTACTCAAATTTCAGTCATAGAATAAAGCTGACCACATAAATAACCCAGAATAGGAACTCGATTGAATTGTTAAAATCTGTTGGCCACATTTTAGAGAAAATATTTGGCTTTTGTATTTCAAAACAATCCAAAAGTAGCTGCATTCATTTTGTAATTAGACTTTTTAAGAATTTTATTTATGTGGTATCAAGGAATTGAACCCAGGGCCTTATGCATGCTAGGCAAACACTCTACCACTAAGCTACATTCCCAGCCAAATCATTAGATTTGTTTAACTTAAGGTTTTAAAAGGTAAAGGAAAAAAGTTTTAGGCTAGATACATTAAGAGTCTCAGGCTGTACCAGCTCAGCTAGCCCAGGTGACTAGGCTAGATGTATTTAAAGAATAATTTGTTCTTCTTAAAATCTCAGTGTTCCACAAACTAAGCACATCCTGTTAGACTTCTTGAGTATTAAATACATCTTCTATCCTTGGTCTTTCTGCATTTAGCTTTTTTGGGGAAGTATGTTTTTACCCTCGGCATATGGTCTGAGCTGCTGATTCAGTATTGAATGTCTCTTTAAGCTTGTTAGTTACATTCTGTTGATTAAAATAGTGTGCAAAATAGGAAAAACCAGTTCCTGGCCTGAAATAAATTAAACATCGTTAATTAGCTTATGAGAAAGAACAAATGAGTAAAGAGAATTCTCATATACAAAGGTAATTTTTCCTGTTGCTTTTGTCATGCAGTATGTTAGGGATAAAGAGCTAGGGTATGGTTGGGAAGATGATGAAAATGCCCAGAATAATACACATAATTTTAGACTAAAAGTAGAAGTGCAGCCCAACTTACAATAGCATTTTTCTGCCTGTTCTCTGTGTCCATATCACTTTCATTTATATTTTTTTATTTTTATGGAGCTACTGCT